TAAGTGGATCCCTGGAGCATCTGCATGGATCTCTGTGGTGAAGGTCTGTCTGGCTTTCAGCAAAGAGCCTAGAAGTTATTGACATTAGCTTATGTCACAAACAAATCCGAAATCTGTCCCTGAACTCTCCCATTACATGTCTGCAGATGCTTCCTTCCCTTGCTCTCTGATTTTTTCATGGCAGACCTTGGGTCCAGCCTGGAATGTGGGGAGTGAGCTTCTCAGCTCCAGAAAGCCCCATGCATAAAATGGGGCTTTGCAAATGGGGAAGAAGAAGGAGCCTCTGGTTCAAGTTGCGTTTTGTTGTTCTTGAATTGCAGAAGTCCTTTATATAATCCGGATATTAACCTCTTACAGATATGGTTTGCAAATGTTTCCTTCCAATCCATGGGTTGCTCTCACATTTTCTTTGTTAGTGAACTTTAGTTGAGACACAATGTGACATAGTTTCAGGTGTACAAAATAGTGATTGGACAACTCTCTATGTTATGCTCTATTCAACACAATGTAGCTCCCATCTGACCCCATGCAGCCCCATTAAAATACCACTGACTATATTTCCTATGCTGTACATTTCATCCCTATATCCTATTCATTCCATAGCTACTGCTACCACTCTCCGGATTCTGTCTTTTGATGCACAGAAGTTTTCCATTTTGATGTAATACAATTCATCTATTTTTTTCTTGTACTGTCTTCGCTTTGGGTGTCATATCTAAGAAATCATTGGGAAATCCAGTTTCAATAAGTTTTTGCATTATGTTTGTTTTTAGACTCTTACTATTTGACTCTAATGTTTAGATGTTTGACCTATTTAAGTTAATTTTTGTACATGATGTAAGATCGGGTCCAACTTCATTCATTTGCATGGCTATCCAGTGTTCCCAACACCATTGGTTGAGTAGATATTTTTCTCCATTGAATGGTCATGACAGACTTCTTGAAAATCGTTGGACCATATGTGACAGGGTTTGTTTCCGGGGTGCCTATTCTATTCCATTGGTTTCTGTGTTTGTCTTTATACCAGACCCCATTATTATCAGTTACTATAGCTCTGCAGTCAGGAAGTAGGAGTCCTCCAACTTTGTTCTTTTTCAAAATAAGTTTGGCTATTTGAGGCCCCTGAATTTCTGTGTGAATTTTTGGAAATTCCTATTTCTGCAAAGCAATTCCTTTAAGTATTTGATATGGAGGTACCTGGCTGGCTTAGCTGGTGGAGCATGCGACTCCTGATCTTGGGGTTGTAGGTTTGAGCCCCACATTGGGTGTAGAGAGTACTTAAAAATGAAATCTTAAAAAAAGGAACTTGGTAGGAATTACACTGAATTTGTGGATCTCTTTGGATAACACTGTCATCTTAACAAGACTAAGTTTCATCACCATGAACATGGGATGTCTTTCCATTTATTTGTGTCCTCTGTAATTTCTTTTAGCAATGTTTTATAGATTTCCGTATACAGTCTATTGACTCACTAATTAAGTTAACTCCTAAGTATTTGATTCTTTTTGATGTTATTGCAAATAAAATGCTTTTCCTATTTCTTTCTTGTGTTTTTCATTGTTAGTGTTAGCAACACAGTGATTTCTGTATGTTGATTTTGTATCCTGCAAATTTGTCGAAGTTGTTTATTAGTTCAACAGTTTTTAGTGGAATCTTTAGGGGTTTGTATATAAAATTTCATGTCATCTGCAAAGAGACATAATTGTACTTACTCCTTTCCAATTTGATTGCATTCTCTGTTTTTTTTCCTCCTAATTATTTTTGCCTGGACTTCTGTACTGTGTTGAATACGGGTGGTGAAAGTGGGATGTTTATCTTCTACCTGATCTTAGAGGAAAGGCTTTCAGTGTTTCATCATGGAGGATGATGTTAGCTCTGGGCGTTTCATGTAAGGCCTTTATTATATTCAGTAGTTTCCTTCTATTTGGAAGGGTGCCAGTATTCTGTATATGGTACCCGCCACTCGACAGAAGCTTTTCACTATGGGAGTCAATCCACAGATCTGTAAGTAAAAGTCTTCTTCAGAGTGAGAAATCCTGTAGCTTGAAAACTCTTTGATTCCTGAGGTAATGAAGACGGGGCAAGTGGCTTTCATTCCCTAGTAAATAAAACAGTGCAAATGCCTTCCCTACTTTACATGAAACTGCCTTGGACACAGAGATAGAAGGGTTGCGTGTCTTCCCCCCCACCCACCCAATATACCTGGAAATGTATATAAGGAATGAGGCCTGATCTTCTAAAGTCACAAAAGTTCAAGAAAATCACACAGAAATCCATGGGAAAAAATTCCTCATGATAATGATGTTGCTGGCCACGTGGGCTAAGAGGTTCCAGGTGCTGATACTACAGTGATGTCCAGGCAGAGCAGACACATGGGGGAGGGTCCGAGGGGGAGATAAAGCCCTCTCCTTACAGATCGTCACCTGAACAAAGACACTCATCCTTCTGCAGGGCCATCCTCTGGGGGCACCTTTACAGAGCTCGCTAGGGCCCTTGAAGTGTCCAAGATCTCAAAGGAAGGAGAGTAGCCCTGGGCCCCAGGCCCATTCTCATTTAGTGACATCCTGTGTTTCCCCACAGAGCCAATATCCAAGCCCTCTCTCCATGCCAGCAACACTGCAGTCACAGAAGATAAGGACTCTGTGGTCCTGACCTGCTCCACAGATAACACTGGGGTCTCCATCCACTGGTTCTTCAATGGCCAGAGTCTAAAGCTCACAGAGAGGATGAAGCTGTCCCAGGACAACAGCACCCTCACCATAGACCCTGTCAGGAAGGAGGATGCCGGGAATTACCAGTGTGAGGTCTCCAACCGGGTCGGTTCCAGCAAAAGTGACCCCATCAGGCTGGATGTGAACTGTGAGTGACCCTCGACCTCTCCCTCTTCTTCCCTTTATATTTTACTGGCAGGAGGTGTGAAGTGGATGCAGGCCTGGAGGAGGTGGGACCCACCTTCAGAGCCTCTCTGGCAATGTGGATAAAATTCCCCAGAATTAGACGGATCTTGCTAGCATCTTGGTTCTAATATGTACCAGCTATTGGACCTTGGGCAAGATGCTCAACCTCCTGAGCCTCAGTCTCCTCATCTCTAAAACTGGAAAGAACAGCTGGATCTTAGGGCTGTTGTGACAGTTGTTAAAATGATTTCATGAGATGAAATTGAGACAGCATCATTTACAGATTCAGCCTCAAGCAAACTTAGCAGCTACTGTTCTTTTGTTATTAACATTTTTGTAACTAGCTGTAATGACTCCGGGAATTGGAATTAAGTGTCGTCTGATCACGTTCCAGCTCTCTGACCCCCACAGATTTACTGAAGCCCTTTACATACTCAGATGCTCATTTTGCACAGTGGGGATGACACCTGGCCCCTCATTGACAGGGAAGCAGCAGATGAGATAAACATAAAGTATTTCCCATGTGCCTGGCACAGGGCCGACCTCAAAAGCCATCAGCTAATGTTATTCTCTTTAATCAGTGTTGACTGAACAGGTAAGGGCCTCCCTCTAAGAGCATTGATAGAAATGGAAAGGAAGACCCAGGGGAAGAGGCATAATGTGAGAGGAAAATGAACAGGACCCTGGCACTGGGCCCGGGGTGGGGGGACAATGTGAAGAATGAAGCAAGTCCAGGGTTTCACCGTGAGGAACAGAAACGATGCAACGGTCAAGGGGGTGGGGACATTGTGGTGAGAAAACACAAACCACCCAGACCTCAGTGGCCTTTCCTTCCTCCCTAACCAGGCCCTTCCCCCACGGCCCCTCCTGGCTTCCCCAGCTTTGACTTGGGACTCACTCCCCTCCCTTTTTCTTCTTATTTCAGATGGAAGAAGCACCACAGGCCTCCCTGTGGCATCCATCATTGGCATTGCAGTCGGGGTCCTGGTTGGATTGGCACTATAGTTCTGTCCTGGGGTGTCTCCTGTTCCGCACAGTTTTTTCAGAGTTCTGCAGAATTTTCAAGACAGATCATCTCAAAAACATACAAAGTCATCCATAGAGTAGAGAGGGAATATCCCCCACCCAACTCATTCTGAGGTTAGCATAACCTTTAAATTGAAATAGGAATAACAGGAAAAGTACAAAAAGAAGAAAGTATCAGGCCAATCATACTCATGAACATAGAGGAAAAATGCTAGACAAGGAATTCTCAAACCAAATCCAACAGTATATATATATATTTTTTTTTTAGATTTTTTTTTTTTTTATTTGACAGAGAGAGAGAGACAGCGAGAGGGAACACAAGCAGGGGGAGTGGGAGGGGGAGAAGCAGGCTTCCGGCCGAGCAGAGAGCCCGATGCAGGGCTCGATCCCAGGACCCCAGGATCATGACCTGAGCCTAAGGCAGACGCTTAACGACTGAGCCACCCAGGCGCCCCAAATCCAACAGTATATAGAATAAGACAGTACACCGTGACTAAGTTCCGATTGTCCCAGCAAAGTAAGGCGATTCAACATTAGAAATTTATAAATGGGGGGCACCTGGGTGGCTCAGTCGGTTAAGCAGCCGGCTCTTGATTTTGGCTCAGGTCATGATCTCAGGGTCCTGGGATTGCTCCCCATGTCAGGTCTGAGCTCAGTGGGGAGTCTGCTTGAGGATTTCTCTCCCTCTCCCACTGCCCCTCCCCTCTCTCAAACAAATAAATAAATCTTAGAAAGAAAAGAAATTTATAAATGGAAGAGGGCAGCAACTTCTAGGGTGCCAGCAATGTTCTGGTTCCTGATCTAGCTGCTAGATACATGGGTGTGTTCAATTTTTGAAAATTCAGTAAGCAAAACACTTCATTCTGTAACAGTCCCTCTACCCCCTCAATTTTTTTTCATGAGACTCTTTGAAAAGACCAGATCAGGGGCGCCTGGGTGGCTCAGTCGGTTAAGCGTCTGCCTTCGGCTCAGGTCATGATCCCGGCGTCCTGGGATCGAGCCCCACATCGGGCTCCCTGCTTGGCGGGGAGTCTGCTTCTCCCTCTCCCGCTCCCCCTGCTTGTGTTCCCTCTCTCGCTGTGTCTCTCTCTGTCAAATAAATAAATCTTTAAAAAAAAAAAAAAGAAAAGACCAGATCAGACATGTTGTCCAGTAAAACGCCCACATTCTCACTTTGTTTCCTTATGGTGTCATTTCACTGGCTTCTCTAAACCCTGTATTTCCTATAAATTGGAAAATGAATCTCAAAGCTGAAATAGATTCAGGTTATATTTTTTTGGCAAGAATGCTTCCTGGGTTTTATATTGCATCATCACAAGAGGCACATACGAACTTGTTGTCTAGACCTTACGCCAGTGTAACTATTTCAGTGACATAAAAATGGGCACATTTTTTTAGGTTTCTTAAAAAATTGCAGTTAGTTGGGACACCTGGGTGGCTCAGTCAGTTAAGGGCCTGCTTCGGCTCAGGTCATGATCCTGGGGTCCTGGGAACCAGCCTCCCATTGGGTTCCCTGCTCAACAGGGATTCTGCTTCTCCCTCTGCCTCTCCCCCTGCTTGTGCTCTCTCTTCCTCTCAAATAAATAATAAAATCTTTTAAAAAATAAAATAAAATAAATTCCAGTTAGTTTACATACAGGGTAATATTAGTTTTAGGTGTACAATATACTCATTCGACTCTTCCATACAACACCTGGTGCTCATCACAACCATGCCCTCCTTAATCCCCATCTCCTATTTCACTCATTCCCCCACTCACCTCCCCTCTAGCAACCATCAGCTTGTTCTCAATAGTTAAGAATCTGTTTCTTGGTTTGCCTCTCTCTCTTTTTCCCCTATTCTAATTTGCTTCGTTTCTTAATTTCCACATGACTGAAATCATAGCGTATTTCTCTTTCCCTGACTGACATATTTCACTTAGCATAACACACTCTAGCTCCACCCACATTGTCGCAAATGAAAAGATTTCATTCTTTATTGTGGCTGAGTAGTATTCCATTATGTATACATATATATATTCCATTATATGTATATATATACACCACATCATCTTTATCCATTCATCAACTGATGGACATTTGGGCTGTTTCCATAGTTTGGCTATTGTAAATAATCCTGCTGTAAGCACCGGGTGTGTGTATCCCTTTGAATTAGGATTTTTGTATCCTTCGGGTAAATACCTAGGAGAGCACTTCCTGGATCACTGCGTAGTTTTATTCTAAACTTTTTGAGGAACCTTTCTACCGTGTTCCAGAGTGGCTGCCCCGGTTTACATTCCCACCAACATGCAGGAGTGCTCACCTTTCTAATCAGTCGGCATTTTTTTGTGCAAAGACAAATGTGTATACAGAAATTACAAGATTAGAAAACTATCTACCATGCTGGTCCTCAACAGAAGGAAAGCTGTCTATGGCAAGCCCACAGCTAACGTCATACTCAGTGGTGAAAGGCTGAAAGCTTCTCTATTAGAATCAGAAACATGACAAGGGTGCTCATCCTCACCACTTCTATTCAGCATAGTACTGAGAGTCTTAGAGCAATTACGCAAGAAAAAGAAATAAAAGACATTCATGCCAGAAAAGAAGTAAAATTCTCTTTGTTTATAGATGACAGGATCTTCTATAGAGAAAACTCCAAAGGCTCCATGAAACACTGTCAGAACTAATATACAAATTTAAGGAAGCTGCAGGATGCAAAATCAATCTACAGAAATCAGTGCATTTCTATCCACTAACAAAGAACCTATGGCAAACTACCTGGAAAACAAATAAAAGGTTCCCATTTCCCATGGCATCAGAAAGAATGAAATGCTTTGCCCTGGCGGGGCCCTGAGGGGTGGAAGCAGGCACTGGGAAGGCAGGGAGTAGTCCAGTCTGTAGGGTCAGAGGCAAGGGAGCTCTGCTCTGTGGGCACCAAAGATGCTGCTTGGGAGGCAACCCCCAGCCCCCACAGACTATGGGTCAAGGAATAAGCAGAGTCCACTCAACCAGAAGAGAAGCAAAGATAAAGCACGATGGCTTCAGTGTCTAATGGGAAGCAAGACCAAGGTCCCCATTTGCCACCATCAAGAAAGCAGAGCCTGTAGTTTTGGAGTACTGCCCAAAGATGCACTTGCTGGTATCTTGGCGTTCGGCTTTGCAAATGCCATACCTAGGAGAATGCCAGAGTAAATTCCATTCCTTGGACGATCTGCTCTTTTTTGGCCCAGGAAATAGCAGGAACGGCCGCTTATGTGTGAAGAATGCAATATAAAGGATGCATTGAGGGGTGCTGGGTGGCTCAGTCATTAAGCACCTTCGGCTCAGGTCATGATCCCAGGGTCCTGGGATCAAGCCCCGCATCGGGCTCCCTGCTCGGAGGGAAGCCTGCTTCTCCCTCTCCCATGCCCCCAGCTTGTGTTGCTGCTCTCACTATCTCTCTCTCTCTCTCTGTCAAATAAATAAATAAAATCTTAAAAAAAAAAAAAAGGATGCATTGAATGAAAAGAGACATTCACAACCTTCACCTTCCTAAACTCTGTATCTATTGAAGTTTCTTACACCTCTGAATTTGTACACATTTAAACTTTCAAGTGTACTTTAAAATAGTATACTTAGAGTGGGACTGAAACATTGTGATACTCTCACTCTGTTGGGATGGTTTCTGTGGAAGGTTCTCAATGAAATTGAACAGCAAATGTTTTCCTACTGTTTAAGAACCTATGGAGGGCTCTTCACATGGAAAGAAAATTATGTTGCAACTAACTTGTTTACAGCTAAGTAAAAGAATTCAGTCTTCTCTGAAAAAAAGAAAGAAAGAAAAAGAAACAAAATAATTGGACTAAATGTCATCAAGGAGGGGAAAGATCTTTAGGCTAGGACCATGAGATATTGAGGAAAGAAACTGAAGCACACACCAATAAATGAAAAGATATCCCCTGTCCATGGGTTGGAAGAATTAATACTGTTAAAATATCCGTACTATTCAACATGACCTATATATGCAATGCAATCCCCATCAAAATTCCAATGGTCTTTTTCAGGGAAGGGGAAAAAGGAATTCTGTAATTTGGGTGGAACCACAAAATATGTCAAAGAGCCAAAGAAATCTTGGGCAAGAAGAACGAAGCTGGAATCACTTGGGCAAGAATCACTCTTCCTGATTTCAAACTACATTTCAAAACCGCAGTAATGAAAGCAGTATGGCATTGTGACAGCCCTCCACCAGGTTTAAGGGTTCATGTGCTCCAAGCATGTGTACCCCCTTGCTTATTGACCTAAGTCCCATGATCTGTAGCAGAACGAACCTACTTTCCTTGGGATTTGCAGACCACTGGCCTTGAGGAGTGAAGGACCAAACTTTCCCAGGAGATAAGGCCTGCCTACATTGGAAAATAGCTGCCCTGGGTGCCAGCAAGTCTGTTCAGGGTCATGTCCGCATACTACCAGCTGCTTGGGCACCTGCTTCTCCTGCACACAGCCGCCCTCCCTTTTTCTCATGCCTTCCCCTTTAAAGCACCCTCCACTCCCAAACCCCCTGGACCGGGAACATGATCTTTGAAACATTAGTCCACTGTCTTCCCAGCATGCTGGCTTCCTGATTAAAGCAACCTTTCTTCACCTACCATCACTTGTCCCTCATGTGTTGATTTTTGAGGTGTGAGCAGCCAAACGTGAGTTTGGAACCAGTCTCAGTCAGGTAAGAGTATTGACAGAAAGAACAATGGAACAGAACAGAGAGCCCTCAATAAATTCCTGCATATATGGTCATCGGATCTTTGACAAGGGTGTTAAGAATACGCAGTGGGAAAAGACAGTCTCTTCAACAAATGATGTTGGGAAAAGTGGATATCCACATAGCAAAAGAATGAAATTGCACATTTACTTTACACATACACAAAAATCAACTCAAAATGGATGAACGACTTCAATATAAGACCCCAAACCATAAAACTCCTCAAAGAAGACATAGGGGAAAAGCCAGATCACATTGGTCTTGGCAATGACTTCATGCATATGGTAACAAAAAGCACATGCAACAGAAACGAAAATCAACAAGTGGGACTATATCAAACTAAGAAGCATCTGCACAGCAAAGGAAACCATCAACACAATGAAAGAGCAACCTACCAACTGGGAGAGAATATTTTCAAACCATGTATCAGATAAGGGGTTAATATCCCACATATGTAAGGAACTCCTACAGCTGGATAGTAAGACACAAACAAACAAATAACCTGATTTTAAAGACTTGAGTAGATAT